ACAGATGTATCATTGCAAACTTAGTTGATAGATAATGCATTGAAGCAGCTAAAGAACCGAGTCCAAATCTGGCTTCAGATACTAGCTATGTGACCTTGGGCAAGTCACTTTGCCTCTGTCTCAGTTTCCTCAACTATAAAATGGGAATAATAACAGTACCTCCCTCATAGAGTTGTGAGGATCAAATGAGGTAATATTTGTAAAGCACTTAGGGTGCCTAGCACATAGTAGGCACTATATAAATATATATTCCCTTTCCCTTTAAGTGCTTACTGTAATGCCAAGCACTGCTAAAATCTTGGTTTACAAATACAAACAAACAAACCCAATCCCTATCTCCAGGAGATTACATTCTAATGAGGGAAGATGGCACATAAAGGGGAGCTGGAAAGGGTGGTGGTGGTAAATATCTATACAGGGGCAAGGCTGCTGACAGGGAGGTGAGAGAAGCCTGGAGAGGGAAGCCACAGCAAAGTGAGCATGGCCTGATGGCCTTGTGAAATGGTGCTGAATTGGAAGGATGAGTTCCTGGTCCCCTGGCCAGAGACCCACCAATCAGAACAGAGGGCTGCTGCGTGGAGGCATCTTCAGCATGATATAACTATTGGAGGGAAGTGAAGAAGTCCCAGAAAACATGGAAGGGAGGTCCATCTAGACCTAGGGTATTTATTGGTTCCTCTCTTCCTTAGATAACATCCTTATAATCAGTTTCTTCTATATTGGGTGAGACTCTTAGAAACATAGATGAATAGGAAACCTAGAATCTTAGAACTGAAGGGGACATTAGAGATTGTCTAGTTCAATGCATACCTTGTCTTGGCTATAGTATCTGTAAAAAATGGTCATCCAATTTCTGCTATACTTGAGGATCTCCATAACAGAGCACTGACTATTCCTTGAGGCAGTTCCTTCAGTTTTTGGACATTTTAGTGTTAGAACTTGAGCCCAGATCTCTCTCTTTCTTCTCATTCCTTCCTCCCTTCCCTCTTTTTTTCCCTTTTTCTCTCCTTCCCTTCCTCTCTTTCTCCCTCCTTCCCTTTCTTCTCTCCTTCCTTCTCCCCTCCTTCCCCCTTCTTCCCTCCCTTTCCCTCTTTCCTTCCTCCCTCCCTCCCTTCCTTTCTTTCTTCCCTCCCCCTCCCTCTTTCCTTCCTTCTTTTCTTTTCTTTTCTTTTCTTTTCTTTTCTTTTCTTTTCTTTTCTTTTCTTTTCTTTTCTTTTCTTTTCTTTTCTTTTCTTTTCTTTTCTTTTCTTTTGATGTAACTTACACCCATTGGTTTCAGTTATCTCTTCTTTGACAAAGCAGCAAAAAGTCTCATTGTTCTACATGACAATCTTTCAAATATTTGAAGACAGTTAACATATCCCTGCTAAGCTGTCTCTTTTCCAGGCTAAACACATCTGGTTGTAGGAGTGAGAGAAGACTTCTTTTAAATGAAAGAATAATCTAAAGTCCTTTCAAATGCAAGTCACTTGCCATAACCAGTTTTGATATCTAGATTCAAATTGCTTGAAGGCATATATGGCTTTTTATCAAACTTGGAGATGGCATGAAACAGAGATAACTAAAGGATTGATGACAGAATTTAGGTGCAAAAAGATCTTAAAAGGCTAGAACACGGATGACATCTCTACTAACATGCAGTTTAATAGGATTAAATGTGAATTATTCTTGAGTCCAAGAAAATAAACTTTTAAAGCCTAGGATTGGAGGGGCATGGTTGGATAACACTTGATGAGAAAAATATTTCTGGGTTTTAATGTATTGTAAGCCCAGTAGGAGCGAGCAGTGTGATATGTCAGCCACCCAAAGCTAATGCAGCCTTAGACCACTTGCACAATAGAATATAGTACCCGCAGTATAGTATCCACAAATTTATGCACAGGTAAATTTGTAGTATTGTATACAGTTCCAGGCAGCATATTTTAGGAAGGACAATGACAAATGAGTTCATCCAGAGAAGTCTGACCAGGATGATAAGGGGACTTGAAACCATAGAGTATGAGGATTGATGGAAGAAGCTAGGTGATTTTTCACCTAGAGAAGAGATAACTTGGGAGAAACATATAATTGTTGTCTTTAATTGTTTGAAGTGCTGTCAGATGGAGAAAAGATTAGATGTGTTCTGCCTGGCTTCTGAGCTGACAGAACTCAAGTTGTAGACCATCAGATGTCAGTTCAAAACAAGGAAGAACTTCTCAGAAATCAAGGCTATGTAGATGTAGACTGGGCCACCCTAGGAAGAAATGAGCTCCTCATCACTGCAGCAATTCAAGTAGAGGCTTAATTCCCCCCCCATTATTAAAGTGTCCTAGTTTAGATATACATTTTACTAGATGCCTTCAAGTTCTTTCAAACTTTGAGATCTTACAGTTCTATGAAATTATTTGACAAATGTCTATTAAGCATCAGTACATCATTCTAAACTGTAAGGGTCTTCTTGTTGTCCAATCATGTCTAACTCTTTGTGACCCCATTTGGGGTTTTCTTGGCAGAGATACTAGAGTGGTTTGCCATTTCCTTCTCCACTTTACAGGTGGGGAAACTGAGGCAAACAGGGTTAAGTGACTTGCCCAGAGTCACATAGTAAGTGTCTCAGACTGGATTAGAGCTCAGGAAGATGAGTCTTCCTGACTCCAGGCTGGCAATCTATCCATTGTACCATCCAGCTGCCTCTAGCTAAAGGGTTTTCAGAGACCATCTAGTCTAACCTTTTCATTTTATAGATGAGAAAACTGAGGCTTAGGTAAACTAATTAATTGACCCATTTCATGAGAGGTGTTTAAACTCCATTGACTGTGTTCTTCCTACTGTAGCACGTTGTTTCTAGAATCCTCCAGTCCTCCCCAAATGAATATGATTTTGATAGCTTGATAATTACAGGAGAGTGAGGCTAATGGCCCCACAATGAGATTCTGGTTCCCTACTTCAACCTAGAAAATGAGTTTGCTTAAAAAAAATAAAGATATCTGTTTTCAGAAATACGAATTTGAGTTTATGTTGTCACTTCTATAAGGTGATAACGTGTTTCACCCTTGACTAAACTTCTGGAACCTGAATGAGAATGGCTTCTGCTAGGAAAACCACAGTGTTATCATATGTACATTTTATGAGTGGGTTAGCTTCAAGGTGGCTCAGGTAAAGCTGACTATATGATTTCATTCAAGCCCATACAATATACACTCAAGCCTAGGATCATGCCAAAGAGAAAGCGTAATAGCAATTCCGAGGGAGCGAGGTGGCATAGTGTATAGAACACTAGGTTCAGAGTCAGGAAGACTCTTCTTCATGAGTTCAAATCCAGCCTCAGATACTTACTAGCTGTGTGACCCTGGGCAAGTCACTTAACCCTGTTTGTCTTAGTTGCCTTATCTGTAAAATGAGCTAGAGGAGGAAATGGTAAACCACTCCAGTGTCCCTGCCATGAAAACTCCAAATGGAATCACTAAGAGTCAGCCACAACTGAACAAAAGCAACAATAACAGTTCCATGGTGAGCAACGGGAGAAAAAATGTTAATTTGGACGATGTGGATTTGGGTTCAAATTCTGACTTTGTTACTTAGTACCTTGAGACCTTGAACAACCTCTCTGCTCCTTAGTTTGTAAAAAGAAGGATTTAGACTAGTTGACATCTCAGATTCTCTTAGGCTTTAAATCCATGATCCCATGGCATGTGATCATAAAGAAATGAGACTGATTTTCTTGAATGTTTTGTAGAATCATTCTCCTAATTTTACAGTATATTATAGAATGCGTTTTATTTTGTTGTCTGGGAAGTTTAGTTCTTTTTTTTAGGCTCCAGGTCAGATTCAGGTGTCGAACAGGAGTATATAAATTGCTGATAGTTAGTAGTTGTGACCACCTTGTTCATGGTCTCAAGTTTCCATTTGGCAAGATGTAAGAAGGAATTTAATTCAGTAGAACCCCAACACTTCCAGACAGTTCACGTGGCACTTCACGGACCCTTCACACCCTTCACATATGCTTTGGATGGTAGAATCCCACAGTTTTAAGGATATATAGCTGCCCTTCTCTTCAGGGTGGAGCAGATCCAAGTATTTTGAAGTAGCAGTGAAAGCTCACAGTTTAGGATGAATTGAGGAAATACCCATTTGACTTAGTAACTGCTGATCATTTCTAAGGAAATGTAGCATTGTTGCTGTTTGAAATTAAACACCATTTGGTTAACCTAGTGGTTCAAAATAGCTTTATCAGGTAAATGTTGCCTCTATCCTTAGGGTAAGGGTTCTTTTTTGTGTCATGGACAACCTTGAGCAGTCTGGTGAAGCCTATGGGATGCTTCTCAGAATAATGTTTTTAAATGCATAAAACAAATTATATAAGATTATAAAAGAAACCATTTATATTGAAATACAATTGTTAAAATAATTTTTAAAGAGGGTTCTAGTGTCCCAGGTTAAGAACCCTTGCTTTAGGGGGCTTGCTTTAATGGACAGGTAAGAACACTTATTATTAGCCAATTATATGTCTGAAAATTTAGATGCTATCAAAGTGCTTAAAAAGTCTCTTTCTCTTTAAGTAACCTAAACATCATTCCTATAAGATATTTCAGCATCAACAAGAATTTGCTAGGCAAAGGCAAATGAATCCATTCACCTTCTGAATTGTGACCAATTTGAAATAGTGAGACCCACATGAATGTGTTAATGACAGATTCCATTGATCCTTTGTACATGTGGTTAAAAATACCACTGTTCCTAAAGAGAAAACATCTCAGGGGCCTAGGGCTATTTCTGCCTCAAATCAAACACATCCCTCCAACCCAGCAGATTTGTATTTCTTTCTCCCCTTTTCCAGAATTTTGGAACAATCAAGCCTGGCAATTTTGTTATGTGGTCATGTAAGCACTTTCCCATTCATTAACTTTTTTTTTTTAAATAAAGATTAGATTTGAATTTTTTTTCCTCTTAGTTCTCATGCCTGCATCTCCCCTCATCCCCTGAAAGGAAAAACCAAAATAAAACTGGTCTTTTCTCTCCAGGAGAACGCTGTGAATGGAGAACACCTGTGGCTGGAAACCAATGTCTCGGGAGACCTGTGTTACCTTGGGGAGGAAAACTGTCAAGTCAAGTTTGCAGTGAGTGTTAGCCTCCTACTTTCCTGACCTTTTTGCAGTTTTTCTTTTTTCCTGGAAGAATAGTTATGAGACTGTTTGATCAGCTAGACAGGAATGGTTTTCTTTCCTTATATTCCAAGAAGCATCTTAACAGCCCTGTCTTGAGAAGGGGAGGCCATTTGTTGTCTCCTAGAGTGGAAAGTGTAGGGTGAGGATACAGTTCCTCCAATCAGTATAACAACATAGTATTCAAGAGTTGAGGTCAACATTTATGATTTGATTATGTAACACTTTGTTTTCTACCCTTTACTTTTTGTGACTAAATCAAGTAGGTGTGATGCGGGAGAGATGGGGAGGCAACAGAGCAGAGTCGAATCGCTTGGTCAGAGACCAACATATGCCCTCCACTAGAACAAACACATGCAGAATTTTCTTGTGTCTGGGTCCACGGTAGGGTAGGATGTGAGGATATGTCTGTGCCTATACACAGTTGTATGTCCTGTGTGGTGGGGTAGAGGGGAGAAAATGGTTCCACAGGAACTGAGGAGGAGTCCCAGTTTACCAGATGCTTTGTAACTTCTGATAGGCAAAGACATATGTGGTGACATTATGATACAAATGAGGGCAATGATAGGCTACACAGGTGCCTGCACTTAAATGAGTTTTAATTGTTATCACATTCCATGGAAAAGGACATAGTTCCTTTAAAAGAAGGTAGTTTTTGTCAGAGAACAACTCATAAATGTCACAGGGGAGCTGTAGCCCTTAATGTCTCATTAATAATGTATAGAATTATGCATATTCAAATTATTGATCAGAAAAAGATGTGGAGGAAGCTTAGACTAAGTTACTCAGAGGAAGAGAGGGCAGCATTCCTTTCTGTGTGGGAAAAAGAGAATACCAGGGTGTCTTAATGTCTTGAAGAACAAATGATATCATTTCTTTCTTCTTGGCAACAAGGGGAGAGGAAAAAGTGGGTAAGGGAGCGAAAAAAAAAAGCAAAGCTCTTATTTTTCTACTAATTTATAAGCGGAGGTAAGCCCTTGCTTCCTTGAGGAGGTAAAGACCATAGTACAAGAAAATTTATAAGTGTTTTTAATGTCTAGATACTCTGAAGCTCCAAAAATTTGAAGCTGGAGCTATAAACTGTATACATCCAGTAAAAACTTTGATTTTGAGTTAAAAGATGTGTGGGGAGGTTAGATCTACTCAGGTCTGGAGAGGAATCAGAATCAGTGTAGACTTATTTTGTTAAGCTTAAAAAGGTCAGCTAGGTGGCCGAATGGATAGAGTGTCAGGCCTGCAGTCAGGAAGACCTGAGTTCAAATCCAGATTGAGACATTTACTAGCTATGTGACCCTGAACAAGTCACTTAATCTCTATTTGTTTCAGTTCTCTCATATGTAAAATGGGGATAATAATTAAGCACCTATCTCCTAGAATTGTTGTGAGGATCAAATGAGATAATATTTGTAAAGTTTTTACTATAGTCCCTGGTACACGGTAGTTGTTTATAAAATGTTTACTTTCTTCCTTCCTTATGTTTGAAGGCATTAGCCTTTTTTCCCCCCATTTACTTCATTTTTGCATTTACTAAAATGAAGTTTCTATTTTACTTAGAGTTTTGTATTTCTTCAAATCTTGCTTTACCTGGTGCATTGTATTTAAATATAGTGTTCTTTCAAGTTTGAGCTTTTTAATTCTGGTTCACACTTACATTTTTAAAATTTTAAGAAACACAATTAATTGGGGAAATTGCTATTTTCAGTCAATCAATTCTATGGGAAACCTAGTTATTTGGACCACCTTCAAAACATCATCTACCACCTGGCAACAGTTTACCCTAACTAGAAGATAGGCACCTAGGAGGAATTAAATAATTTCATTCTCCTTGGTTTTGTAAATTAGATAGTAGGAAAATAATTCATAAACCACAGAGTACTATGAAAAGTAGTATGACATAAGGGATAGGATCTTGTCCTTGGAGTCAGGAAGACCTGGGTTCAAATCCTACCTCTGACGCATATTGGTTTATAACTCCAGCTAAATTATTTAACCTCTCAGGGCCCCAGACAGTTGCCAAACAAGTGCCAGTGTGCATTTGGGGAGGGAATTTCCTCACTGGACATTTCTCATACTGGTAATATCACAGGACACTTTAAGAAAAAGAAAAAAAAAACCAACCAAAACCTATGTGTCAAATGTTGTTGAAGATTTGTTATGAGTAGAAAACTCTAAACTGGGTTTACTTGGTTTCTGAGGGCAGGATTAGGAGTGATGGGTAGACATGATAAAAAGATAAATACCAGCTTGAAGTAAGAAAAAGCTCCCTAAGAATTGGAGCTATCTATAAGTGTTAGATGCTTCCAGAAGTCATGGGTTCCTCCTAACTAGAGGCCTTCAATCAAAGGCTAGATGATGTTTCTCAGGTATGATGTAGAAAGGATTCTTAGTGATAGATTGAACTAGATGGTCTTGGTGGTCCCTTCCAATTCCAAAATTTTGATTCTCATCAGTATTCATGTTAGCATCATCATAAATCTAATCCTGTAAAGTGCCAGCAAATGCCACATAGGGACGTGTTTGATTTGGTTATGCTCTGTTTTTGCCTTGCTTTTGGCTGATCAGTTGTGAAAAGGGCTTGGAGAGCTCATTCCTTCTGAGTAAGGTTCCTTTGTAGATAGCTTCTTAGGCAAGAGTACCCCTTTCAACACCGGTGCACCCTTTCTGCCCGTCCCTATGTCCTAACAAATCCCATCTACAATTTGTAGACCAAGGTTTCTCTGAAATTGAGAAAAAGTACAGAAACATTTTAGATAAAAGAAAGTCCTATTCACTTTACTTTCTCCAAATTTCACATTATCTACCCACTTTAAATTTGCTTCAAAAAGAAAATGACCAATATTATGTAGTGGCAAGGATACTGGTCAACTCAGGGAATTACACTGATTATATTTCCATCTTTACCGCTAACTGGGTGACCTTTTGAAAGCCATGTCAACCTCATAGATCCTTATTTTTCTGGCTGTCAAGTGAGGAGGATTGGCCCAAATTATCCCTAAGGTCCTTTCTGGTTCTGTGATCTCTTTGTTAAAGGACAGATCTTTAATGAACTTATCAGAGGAGACTTCTTCCTAAACAAGTTTGTTTGAGCCAGTTACATGTTTGTGTCTTCCTGTACTTTTCACAACTGTGTCATAGGATCATACATTTAGAGCTGAGATGGACTACAGAGACCACTGAATACAACTGCTTCATTTTACAAGTGAGAAGACTGAGGGATAGGGAGGTTAAGTCACTTGTCCAGAATCATGCAGCTAGTAAGTGTCAGAAACTCAGGTCTTCTTGAAGCCATAGCCATTACCCCAGTCAATTGCACCACCTAGCTTCCACTGTGTAAAATATAACTGGAGTAGAAGGATATGGTTTAACAAGGATATTCTTTGGATGTAGAGGATTACTACTTTCATTTTCCTGGAAAAAAAATAACAATAGCTTAATGCTCATTCCTTAAACATTATGTCTTTGTTAGAAACAGTGAGGTCCACCCAGAACTTGGAATTTTTGCACCAGAGTCAAGAGGAATGGTGATGGGGAAGGAGACAGAGACCCTAGGCTCCTAGTATAAGGGAGAGGAAGGGCTCAGCACTGACGATTACTTGGTAACTTTCATTTTATCAAGCATTTAAGGGCATTCTACTGCAAGGCACTGTGCTAAGCATCAGAGATACCAAGACAGGAAGACCATAGATTTAGAGCTGGAAGGAGCTTCAGAGGTCCTGTGGTCTAACTCCATCATTTTGTCCACAGGGAGCTCATGTTCTGACAGTTACAATGTGTAAGCAGATAAATACCTAATATTTAGAGAATTAACAGATAGGACAATCAGTAAAGGCTTCCCATAGAAGGTCTGGATGGTAAACTGATGCAACTCTAAGGTCAGGACTTACCATACTACTTGGAATTTATGGTGTCCCATGGTATTGATCCATTGGAGAAGGCATGGTAACCTGCTTGTGTTCCATTAGAATGTGAGCTCCTTGAGGACAGGGATTAGTTTTGTCTTTCTTTGTATCCCTGGCACTTAGCATGATACCTGACACGTAGGAAGTGCCTAATAAATGTTTATTGACTTGACGTATTAGTTTGGTAACAGATGGTGTCTTAGATTAGTCACTGTTCTTTTCATAGCTAGTCACATATAGTACTTTCTAGGCTTGAAGCTGCAAGTTGATATATATGCAGTACATGTATTGACGGTGTTGCGATGACACTACTCCCTATTCTTTTTTGTTGCTTTTTTCATGATCCAGGTGCCCAGACAACATGTTCCCATAAGGTAATCTCATTGTGGGCTCACATGGATCAGGATTCTTCCCAGGGAAGTGGACCACCAAGAATGTAGTTAGGATTTTTGTCTCTCTCTCAGTCTTGTTGCTTTTACCCTTGAGTAATTCTGGAAAAAGCTCTAAAATAGAACTTGGGTATGGGTCCTGTCTAAGGTTTTTTCTTAGGAGTGATCTTCCCCTTACCAAGCTCTCCTCCCCCTTCCCTTCTTCCCTCTCTCTTTAACCTCCTGTCATTCTCCTCACCTACCTGCCTACCTCCTTTCTCTTTCTTTCTCTCATCTTCCTCTTCTTCTTAAAACACTTCCTGGTGGGTAGTTGGCACCTGACAGGGTCTTCTGAACTTTTCTTTTCAAGGCTGGAAATGTCATCTTTCCAGGAACAATAGTCATTGACCTGTGCTCAGGGAAGGAAACAGAAAGATAGCCAGGGATTCAGGCTCACTTAGACAAGTACTCATTCCTCCTCCCATGTACTTGTAGTCACAGATTGCTATTGCCTGTTGAGGATAGGGAAAAGCAGAGAGAAAAATCTCTTCTCTCTATGTACCCTTGCTAGAAGGCCAAGGATTAGAAAGTTCTGGCAGAGTCCCAAATGAGAAAGCTCAAAATAAAGAGTGCTATTTCCACAGCTTATGTGGAGAGTACATCCTTCTGATTCACAAGCATGCCCTAC